CTTCCTGTAGTCAGCCGCTGGTCAGTTTCAGCAGCGGCTGAATCGGGGACACCTGGGGTACAATATGTACCAGTTCCAACTTACATACAAATTCAACTTAAGAACAAACCTATAGTCCCTATCTTGTACGTAACCCGGGACTGCCTGTATCAGAGTGGGTTTCATTCTGGTATTCTTGCATTTCAGGGATGAGGTACGCAATTGTCAAAATTCCACGAAAGTGGCCTTACGCATGCAAAAGTTTTGTAGCTACCGATGATCGTCCTATAGCTGCATCACTATGCAGTCCCACCATTATGTGTTTGTCTCACGGCACCAGAATTGGCGTTCTACTGTATCAAGAGGATCAAATGCCGGTGGCATTTGCTAGTTATTCTTATGTGTTTGTCTCACGGCACCAGAATTGGCGTTCTACTGTATCAAGAGGATCAAATGCCGGTGGCATTTGCTAGTTATTCAACTCAAATATTTCCCAGAAGAGCATGTTCATGGTCTCCTCAGATTCTTCCTCATTTTGGCAGACCCTGGATATACTCCATTATCGGCCTCACCATGGTTAAGAAGACTGCCATAATACTTTGCTGCTGAACAGGTTCTACAATGGGTACCATGCTTACCCTGCTACGGCATCTGCATGGGTAATCAGGGGGGAAAAAAGAAAGTGAAAAGACTTTTGCTGATGCTTTCAAGCAGGAAGGGAGGGAAAAGACGAGTGCATGATGGGATACTGATGACATGTACCCAGAATCACCTACTGTACAGATTTGGTCCCAGCTTGTACTGGGAGCATAACCAAAAATACAAAGGGGTTCCAGGAACAGTGGGAAAGCAACCCACGGTGCATTATGATCAAAGTCGACAGCAGCCACGCTATTAGGGACATGATACTTCGAACTACCCGGAATTGTTGTGCACAGTGGGGACACGAGCCTTGGATTTTACTAAATCAGATTCTAAAAAAATCGACTTTAATAAATTCAACCTTATCTCATAGTGTATGCAAGGCCTTAGGTTGAATTACTGCAAGGTCTACACCAGGGCACATTTACAGGAGAAACTTTCCCATCAATTTATCTTACTCTTCTCATCAGGGGTAGAGTACCAGGGTTTGCTGCTGAGCAATCTGCGATCAATTTGGCAGGTGTTCACTAGACCCATTAAATCAACTGCTGTTGGATTGATCTCAGAGCATCGATCCCTGCGATAGTGTAGATGTAGCCTAAGAGTTGTGGCTTTAAGGAACAACAATAAATATTGCAAGACTTATAACAAAAAAAACCTAGGAATTAACAATACTGCAGTAAGAAATTATTTCTGCAGGAAATCCTAATATTGAAGAACAGAGGAATAGATGGAGAAATTATTATAAAAAGATAAAAATACTTTATATAGGGCTTTTCATCCTGACATCTCAAAACATTTTACCAACTTCAATAAACAGAAGGAATCACTTTCACCAAGTGAAATGCAGCCTGGGATGAAAGAGAGAAGCTGTTTCACAAAATATAGCAACACTTATTATTCATATTGTAGTAGCAACTACTGGCACCAGTAATGAACCAGGGGGCCTCATTATGCTAAGTACTGTATCAGTGGTTCTCAGCCTATTTAACTACAGTACTTATATGAGAAACTGAAAAATACAATTTCTTCTGTTTATCATATTAGTGGAAATATTTGTAATCAAAATAATATTATGAAGTGAGCATCATCAACTTAGTGTTCTATATTATAGCTGAAGTCAACGTATTTGAAAATGTAGAAAAACATCCAAAATATTTAATAAATATCCAACAATATACTATCATTTAACAGTGTGACTAAAACTGCAATTAATCATTAATTTTTTTTGAGTTAATCACATGAGTTAACTATGATTAATCAACAGCCTTACTAGGAATGTACTACTTACATCTTGATGATTCAGTTAAGAGCCAGAAGAAACAATGCCTACACTAAGGATTAAACTATTCTGAAATACAGAAAAACAAAAAATCCAGCTTTATACAGAAATCAGACATCAAGTATTCTCATATATTAGACCAAGTCCAGCCTAAAAAAAAGCTTCATATGAAGTTTCAGTTTTGTGGAGGAAAAAGCTGCATCAGCCATCATTTTCTTTGCAAATTTCCACTTTAAGGGTATGAATAATCATTTCATGAATGTACTTTGCCTTTGGTCAAGAGATAGAAGAATTTTTCATTCTTTGTACCATCCTTCTCCTGTCAAATGAAAAAGTTCAGTATGATTTAGTATAAGTCTTACCATAAATTCGAGAAGCAGTGGCTTGCAAACTTTGTAACAATTCCTTGTTTGAATGAGATGCAGCAGAATGAATGGTCTCAATCAACTGGTTTGAAAGTTCAGGCTTTCTTGAGCCAAGTAGAGCAAGTTGTTGAGGTAGACCAGCCAACCAACGAGACAAAACTTTACTTCGGCTTCTAAAAAAAAGGGAAAAAAGATAGTTGGGAAAACAATTTTCTTCTCAAGACAGATATTCTTAAACCTAGTTTATGTTTACAATAAATGTAGAATACTTATAATACTGTAATTTATTATTTATAATGTTTCAGCTAAGTCTGATTCTGTTGATATATGGTAAATTGTCATACAAGCACTTTGCTCATGGACCCAACAATTTCTACAACATGCAACCTATACTCCTCCTTGAGAACTCAATTTCACAAATTAACTATATGATGATGAAAGCACTTCCTTTTGTTTGTTTTTAATTTGTCATTATTACCCTATCATATTATGGGTCAGAGGACAAAGCACAAGATTCACTATACCCGCGTTTCTCAAACTGTGGGTCCCGACCCCATAGGGGGTCGCGAGCAACTTAGAGGGGGGTCGCAGTATCACAAAGTTTGAGAATCCCTGCACTATACCTTTAATACCAAATACATAGAAACCCCCGTAACGCTTCACTTTCCAGACTTTGGGGGGAGGGGTGGAGGATCTTATATTTAATTACATCTTCACTGGTTTTTTTTTAAATTTTAATTCCCCCCCCCCCCAAGAGAAAAAGAAACTGGGCAAAATGTTTCAAAGAAGGGAGTTCAATACAGTGTTATGCTACTTTAGTTTCTAACCCACTCTATTTACCTTTTTCCATTGCTGCTATACCTAGACTGACTTTTCACATAACCATTCCAATTCTTTAATCCATAGGACTTGATCTCTTATCTCATGATTTATGATCCTATTTAGGAATATGGCTTTTGTTTGTTTTTATCAGCAACCTTATGAAAAGCTTTTTTTGTTTTTTAAATCTATATCCATCACATCTCTTATCTATATTCTAAGAATTTTAACAGGTTAGAGAAGCATTATTTTCTCTTTCAGAAAGCACAGCAGTTGGATTATATTTAGGCAAGTATATACTTACAAAAAAACCACATTGCATTATTCAATATTCCCGGTATTTCCATTATTCAAAGGATATTTTTGAATGAATTATGAAATGAAATTTCATGAACTAATATCCTTCCTTGACTTTATTATGAAAATTTAAATCTTTAATTTTTTTATTACTAAGTACAAAGTCCATTCATGTTTCCAACAACATATTTAAATAGCTACAGATATGTCTCCTCTACCTCCACATTGAACGAAAAGAAAAAGTTCATTACAGGGTCCTGAACAATAACCACAGTTCTTACAGTATATTCTGTCTAAAAATTCATATCCAAAGTCTGAGCATGCCTATGCTACTGCTTATTCAGATGTTTCTGGAAAGTAGAATTGTGGTTGATGCCTCTGATTGGCTTCAAAAGTTTAGACCTCATGATATAACAGGAAGCTTGGTCCTCAAAGCACTCAGTTCCTTTTCTCTACATCTTAAAAAAAGTTTCAAGTATTATTCCTAATTTTAAAGAAGGGATTATTTTTTAAAATGGGAAAAATTAGTTAAGGGAGGAACTCATAAGAGGAAATCATATATCAGACTCAGAATGGAGGCCATTTACATACACCACAAATAAATATGGGGGGGGGGGATAATAAAATTGTTTAATGGTAAAACACAGGAGATTATACAAAAATGGTATCTGCCAGAAAACAGAAATGCAGCCTGATGAACAAAGTATGGCATGCAAAAAGATGGAAATAAAGACGGGCTAAGAAAAATGTAACAAGAAATAGGCAAAGAAAAAATTATTACCGTACATTAGAAGCAAAATACTAAAGATCTGCACAGACTGTACAATACCAAGTCTGCTGGACTTCCAGGGAAAAAAATAGAAGATTCAGCCTATATCTACACTACCCACAAAAAGTTGACTTAAGGTATGCAACTCCAGCTATGTGAATAACACATGTACCTTAGGTCAAGTTACCACAGAAGGGTGGGGGGAGGGACAGAAGATAGATTATTTGAGAAATGAATGAAAGGAACTTCAGAGAGACTTAAATTTATGTGAAAGAAAAGCGCAATGGCAAGTGAAATAAATTAAATATAAATTGATTTACGTTGGAAAGAAGTACTCGTGTACATCTCAAATTAAACACTACCCGTGTAAGGAGCATGAGTTTAACTCAACAGGTTCCTTGACCACTCCACAGTTGCAGAACCACACGTAGGCCATGGAACTGTGCTTCAGAGTCTATCCCATTTACCCCAGAAATCTGAAACAGTAATTTCCAGATCCATAGGTTATAAAGAGAGAAGAAAGTGATTTTTAAAAAATGTATGCTAGTTTGTTGTTAGCATGTTTATTATAGAATACTGGTAAGTTAATGGACTGATGAAGCAGAATCTCTACCATATTGGGGAGGAATTTAGGATGAGATGGAAGACTGCTTTGTCTTTGTGGTATACAGTAAACAGTGATCAGCCATGGTTCCTATAATTTGCTTACTATTTTAGAAGATGTGATTACTATAATGAAAGCTGTTTTGACTGAAACATGAAATAAGAAACATATCTCACAATGGGAGGAGTTACAAACTAGTAAAGACTAAACTGATATACCACATCAAAGATGACTCCAACTGGAGGATAACCATTTACTAATCCTTTCATGAATCTCTTGGCTATATCATGCATAAATACTGATTTATCAGTTAATACATGGTGCATCAGAATGACTAAGTGGACTTTAACATTCAATATAAAGCCCCAAAAGCTTTAAATTAAGTAGATATTCAAGTATGATATTCAAGTATTATGTTATTATTGTCGTAGATTAAAAATCTCTTCCATCAGAAGCCACAGAAGAATGGTGATTTGACTGTTGCCTAGAATTTATTGAGACAAGCTGAATTTCAAGAAAGCAAAACATTTTAAAGCCTGTCAGAGTTTGATGGCCATGCTGCTAAGCACGTCAGAGGGATACACAAAACCATTTTGTTGCATAAGTGTCCAAGATTGGCAATTTTTGTTTTTTGACTAGCTATTGGTGGAAGCATTCTCATCTTGAGGCAAGCATAAGGAATTATGGCATTTGCCTGAAGCCATGAGGCCTCTGACTTTGAGGAGAAAAAATGCCTGATGGGGCTTTTCATAGAGTCTTTTACAGACAGAATTTGCACACATCTTTCTTCTGGAAAAAAGGCTCTGCCTCCCTGAGAATCCAGAACTGCCCAAATAAACTCCATTGATAGGAGCTCCGTGTTATTTTTTACTGTTTAGAGTCATAGTTGCATGTTGTTTTTCATTTGTTTGTTTTAAATCAGGACCACACCAGGATGACTGCTGTGGAAAATCCTCTTGAGAAGATGCTGCTGATCATCTAAATAGAAATAAACATGGATGCTCTGCAACGTTAACTGCATTGATATTTTTTACCCTGGTATTACTGCGTCCTATTGATTATGCTCATTCCATCAGTTTCTGTGATGTCTATTATATTAATATCCACATTCAATACAAGACACTCTAGTTCACTCATTTTATTATTTAGATTTCTAGTGTTAATATAAAGAGCTTATATACAAACTCTAGCAATCTAAATAAAAAGATGGGTGTACTAAAGTGTCTCGTATTGAATGAGGATATTAATATAATAGGCATCACAGAAACTTTGTGGAATGAGGATAATCAGTGGGACACATTTATACCAGTGCACAAAATATATCAGGAGGACAGAGCAGGTAATACTGGTGGAGGAGTGGCACTAGACATGAAAGAAAATGTAGAATCAAATGAAGTAAAAATCTTAAATGAACCAAACTGTTCCATAGAATTTTTACAGATAGTAATTTCATGCTCTAATAATATGAATAGAACTGTAGGGATATATTACTGACCACCAGAACAAGATAGAGATAGTGACTAGGCATATCAGATAGCGGATAACAGAATAGTCAACTAACCACATGAATTCTTAGCAGACAGTCAGTTATTCCACAGTCCCCGGGGGCAGCTCTAGCAGCCAGTGTGCTCCGGTCCCAATCCCGGGGAACTCCCTGGCACCCTGCACTGTGCAAGCGGGGAGCCGGTCCATGATGGGGGTCAGTTTAAAAACAAGCTCCCCTTTTGGACCAGCTGCCTGCCACCCCTCACCGCTGCCTCTGATACAGCAGCAGCAGCGCAGGATGGCATAGGGCTCCCCGGGAGTGGCGCCAGAGTGGGCAGGTGCTGCGGTGACACCACAGTGCCATTGCTGGGGGAACCGGCTTTTAAGCCGTCTTCCCCCCCCAGCACTGGCTCCTGCTTCCACCTCCCTTGCTGCCTCTGATAAAGAAGCAGCAAGGGGAAAAGAGAATGTGAGTAGTCAACTAGATTAATGGCTAGTCAACTACTTGTTGACATCCCTAATAGTTACTATAAAATGCTAAGAAAGATTTGAGAAAGGGGGAATACACAAAAAGGAGGGGTTAGTTAAATGGAATTTAAAAGGTACAGTGCCAAAAGTAAAATCCCTGCAAGTTCTATGGAAACTTGTCAAAGACATTACAATAGAATTTAAACAAATGTATTCCCTAAATTAAAAAAAAAATGCAAAAAGCTGCAAGAACCAAAAAAGCACCACCTTGGCTTAACAACCAACGAAAGAAGCAGTGAGAGATAAAACGGTGTCTAAAAAGTGAAAGTTAAATCCTAATGAAGAAAATAGAAGAGAGCATAAACTCTGTCAAATGAAGTGTAAAAACAGAATTAGGAAGGCCAAAAAGGAATTTGAAAAACAGTTAGCCAAAAACTCAAAAATTAATAGTAAAACCTTTTTTAAAGTATGTCAGAAGTAGGAAGCCTGTTAAACAACCAAACAACAAATTAATAAGCTAAATAGTAACAAGTCACCAGGACTGATGGCATTCATCCAAGAGCTCAAATGTGCAAGAACTCAAATGTGAAATTGTGGAACTACTAACTGTGGTATGTAACCTATCTTTTAAATCATCTTCTGTACCAAATGATTGGAAGATAGCTAATGTGATGCCAATCTTTAAAAAGGGCTCTAGTAAGGCATGAGCCTGGCAAATTACAGACTCGTAAGTCTAACGTCAGTACCAGGCACATTAGTTGAAACTACAGTAATGAATAAAATTATCAGACACAGAGATGGACATAATTTGTTGGAGAAAAGTGAACATGGTTTCTGTAAAGAGAAATCATGCCTCACTAATCTACCGGAATTTTTTGAGAGCATCAACAATCACGTGGACGAGGGGGATCAAGTGTATATTGTGTACTTAGATTTCTAGAAAGCCTTTGACATGGTCCGTCACCAAAGACTCTTAAACAAAGTAAGTTGTTATGGGATAAGAGGGAAGGTTCTATCATGTCTGATAACTGGTTAAAAGACAGGAAACAGAGTAGGATAAATGGTCAGTTTTCAGAATGGACGGAGGTAACTAGTAGTGTTCTGCAGGGGTCCTTACTGGGATCAATTTTATTTAACATCTTCACAAATGATCTGGAGAAAGGGATAAACAGTGAGGTGACAAAATTCAAGATAGTTAATATCAAAACAGATTATCAAGAGCTTCAAAAGGATCTCACAAAACTGGTAACTAGGCAACAAAACGGCAAATTAATTTTAATGTTGATAAATGCAAAGTAATGCATATTGGAAAACATAATCCCAACTATATGTACAAAATTATGGGGACTAAATTAGCTATTAACACTCAAGAGAGATCTTGGGAGTCATTGTGGTTAATTCTCTGAAAACATCTTCTCAATTTGTAACAGCAGTCAAAAAAACAGTATTAGGAAAAAAGGGATAGAGAATAAGACAGAGAATGTTTTATTGCCTCTGTATAAATCCATGGTACTGTATACAGATGTGATGGTACTACATACAGATGTGGTCACCACATCTCAAAAAAGGTATCTTGGCATTGGAAAAGGTTCAGAAAAGGGCAACAAAAATTATTAGGATTTGGAATGGCTGCCATATCAAGAGAGATTTAAAAGACTGGGACTTTTCAGCTTAGAAAAGAGGAGACTAATAGGCCATGTCTACACCATGAGATGAGATAGAATCTATTAAAGTCAATTTCTGATCACCCAATTTTGCAAAATCAAAGGTCCATGTCCCCACTGAAGTGGAGAATTCAATGTAGTTTGAAGTAGCACATCCCCAATTAGGGAGACAGCTGTCGTCTTTGAGAGTGATGCACTATTGGTAGCTGTCCCACAGAGTCTGCACTACTTTGCAATCTGGGTTATGCTCCTGGTGCATTCTGGGACCAAAACTGTGCAGCGGGTGCTTATGTGTTAATGTCAGTGTCACATAATGCACTTATCTACTCCCACCCCCTCGTTTGAGATCAACGAAAAACAGGCTTTGCACACCTTTTTTGACCCTGGTTACCCATGCAGATGCCATAGCAGCATGAGCATAGATTATATTTTACATCAAACCATTGTGATGTTGAGGTCTATCTTAATGTGCATAATGGTTCAGTATGTCGAGAGCGTAAGCATGTCACTCCACCAAGAAAAGGACAAGGACAAGTCTCAGAATCCCATGGACTCACTGTACAAGTAAGCTTTTGCACTGATGGAAGTGAAGCCACCAGTCGATCCTCTGGACACAGTGGAATGCTGGTTCTGGTGCCAGACAAGCACAGACTGGTGGGACCACATAGGGCTGCTATTATGGGACCATCAGCACTGGCTGCAAAACTTCCAAATGTGTAAGGCCACTTTCTTGGAACTCTCCAAATGGCTTTCCCCTACTCTTTTCTGTGGCGGGGAGGCAGGGGAACTCCAGCCCAGTTGTAGTGGGCAAAGGGGACACTCCAGCCTAGCTCAGCTAGAATGGCTCTCCCACCCACCACAGCTTACAATCAGTTAACAAGTTAAACATAATGTTAAACTTGTTAACCAATTAAACGGGATTTTACATCCCTAATTAAAAATAATTCTTTTTGGGAATAAAATATCTGAAGTATACTAATCAAAACTGCTACCAGCTAGTGAAATGTAGGTGTGTGTTTAAAAAAGGTCCTGTGCCACAGATGCATGAAACAAACTTTTTTATATACTCAGGGCCAAACATTCATGGTATGTCTAAACTACATGGCTCCCCTACGAGGCATAACGGGGAGGTCAATAAAGGGCTTTCATGTCGGCGCGGGAGCATCCAGACTAGCGCGCTGAGCCGACAAACAGCTGATCAGCTGTTTGTCGGCTCAGCGCGCTAGTCTGGATGCTCCCGCGCCGACATGAAAGCCCTTTATTGACCTCCCCGTTATGCCTCGTAGGGGAGCCATGTAGTTTAGACATACCATGAATGTTATAAAAGAGGGCTCTTTGAAAGTACTAAAACAAAAGTAATATGGGTGTACTCATTTCCAAACACCGGATATAAAGAGGTAATTTTTTGACAACTTACATTTTATCCCTAGTAAAAAGGAGAAAGCAAAAAAAATTGCAAATTGTTGTGTCAACATCAGCAACAATTTTCCTACATTAAAACCTAGAGTTATGAACATCAGAGTTACAAAACGACCAGTCAACCACATACCTCTTTTGGAATTGGAAGCACACAATCAGGCAGCAGCAGAACCCCCTTCCTTTCCCCACAAAAAAAAGACTAAGATAGTATTGTTAAACAAACTACTAAAAAAATGGAAATTTTAAAAACTTTCTAAAAGCAGCATTTTCTTCTGTTAAGTTTTAAAGTTGCATTAATGTTCAGCTGTACAATTTTACAAGATCATAACATTTTGTTCAGAGTTATAAATAACCTCCATTCCCAACACATTTATAACTCTGCGCTTTTACTGTACCAACTTAATTCTCTGTCTAGCTAAATGCAAATTATCTAATTTTCTAGCGTATCCATTCCTGCCAATGCCCATCTTTGATGTATTAAAATGCTTTAAAGTAGTCAAGTGGAATTTCAAAGATTAAAAAAAACTTAAAAACCTCTGTTTAAAGAATGAACTGGGATAATTAAGTATTTAAAATTGTACACATGCGTTAATATCTGGAAATAGAAATTAGGTAATAAGTTACAGTGAAAGCTTTATTATCCAGCGCTCTTAACTGCAAAACTTTGTTAACTGGCATTGCCCCCAACCACAATACCGCCGCATTTTTAGGCGCAAGTGCCTTTATCCCACTTGTCCAGCTGGTAGTTGCAGGGCTTCTGACAGCTGGCACTGTAAGCTGACATCAACAGGCACTTCCTTCCCCCCTCAACCTATCTGGAGCTGACTGAAGCTGGATCTGCCAGTAGAGGGCAGGAGCAGAGCAATAAGCTTTGTTATCTGGCACATTTGATTAATCAGCAACACCCATTATCCCTGAGTGTGGGACAAAAAAGCTTTCACTGTATATTTTAGCCCAAAGTGCCAATATTCTCCAAAAACATTTCTGAGAAGTGGGGAAGAAACTGTGACAAATGAGCACACTGAACACATCATCTCAGCTTTTCCCAAATGAGCTTTTGTTCTGTATTCACAAGGTGTGTGCTACTGTGGAAGTGCATAGCCTAGACTTTGAGACTACATCTGCTAGGCTGAATTTTTAAAAATAAAGAATAACCTTTACCTGATTTTTTGAGTGCTCAGCTCTTCTTTTTGATAAACCCTGCTAAAAAATTTCAAAAGCAGCATACGAACAGGAAAGAGGAGATTCCTCTGCTGGTACAGTGCATATACGGCTTTTATTAAAGTTTCTGTTGCCACTAGAAAGAAAACAAATGTGAAATTTAGAAGTGCTTTTTATCTTCTCATTACATTAAGACTATCTACCGAGGAACTGGTAAAACATTTTAAAATACCTATTTTATGTAAACTTCAAATCTTGGGGGTAAACCATTTTGATGGTGCAGCTGTGCTGCTGTAATATTATGAGGCCTCATCTACGCTAGCAAGCTTACAGTGGCATAGCTGTACCAATGCAGCTGCGCCGCTGTTAAAAAAAAAAAAAAAAAAAAAAAAATTGCTCATGTAGCCACTCTATACCAACAAAAAACAGCTCTTCCATTGACATAATGGCACATCTCCACACACCGCAGTAGTTACATCTGTGGGAGACACTCTTCCACTGACATAGCGATGTTCACACAAGCACTTTTGTTAGTGCAAATTACTTTGTTTGGGTGTGTGTTTTTTTCACGCCCCTGAGCAACATAAGCTTGACTGACAGAAATAGTACAAGAACATAAATGTTGACACAGGCTGCGTAAGTCTTCCACCAAAAACTGAGCGGCATAAGGGTAAAGCAATATTTCACCTTTATCACGATCAACAACAAGTAGCTGGAAGATGTGTTGTGCAATGGACCTAGAAGTAACTGCAGATGTGCCCTCTCTTGGAAAGGAAATTAATGCAAAAGTGGAAAATAAAGTATTATTTAACCTAGTCTTTTATCAATGTGAGCTGCTCATTCCATGTCATTATAGTAGTATGACAGCCTTCTGACTATTATAAAGGTGCATCTACAAACCATGGAAATTTTAAAAACAGAATGAAACAATAAAATGGTCTCAAGAAATACTGAGTAGCTGTGATCAGGAAAAATTGAGATGTGTACAAGTTTCCTTATTCATTAAAGTGATCTTTTTCCTCCTTTTTTACATAAAGTTAAGAGAAAATGGGTACAAATACACAAATATACTAATACTGATTTCACTTTAGAGCATACTTCACTCAAGAAGTTACTCACTCCATGCAGTAATAATGGTTTTTCAAGGTGTGTCCCCCTGCGGGTGCTCCACTCAGGTCTCGGTGCATCCTTACACCGGCGATTTTTGCCTAGGAGTGCCTTCCTGCATCGCACATGCGCAACAGCCATCTCGCTCTGTTTTCATCCATTAGCTGTGCATGCGGTGTGGGTCCCCCTCTACTCCTTTTCTACCCGAAATCCTCTAAGGGACTCCAAGTATTAGAGAGAAAGAGACGGTAGTGGAGCATCCATAGGAACACACATCTCAAAGAACCATCGTTACTGCAAATTGTGAGTAACTTCTCCTTCAAGTGTTGCCCCTGTGGGTGCTCCACTCAAGTGACTAGTTACCAGTACCTGCCACTCATAGTGGTAGGTCTTGGAGTCAAATGTGACAAGAGGTAAGGACCGCATTGGCTAAAGTGATGATAGGTATGGGTCCCTGCTGCAGAGGATTATGTTGTGAGAAAGTATGGTGTGAAGGCCATGTTGCTGCTCTACAGATTTCTACAAGGGGTACGTTATGTAGAAAAGCAATTGATGTGAAGACAGTATGAAGTATATGTGCAATTGACTATCCACTTGGGAGATATGCTGAGCAGAAACGACTGTTCCCCTGCGGGGGCCAGACACAGAAATAAAAAATCTGTCTGATTTTCTGAATTCCTTGGTTTTATCTATGTAGAATGCAAGGGCACATCTAGCTTCCAAAGTATGTACCATCGCCACCCTTGGGGAGCCATGGGGTTTTGGAAAGTGAGTGCATAAATAGATGGGCTCATTAATTTGGAATTCTGATAAAACTTTAGGAAGGAACTTTGGGTGAGGTTGTCCTTGATAAAAATGGTATCCGGTAGATGAGCCATTAAGGCCTCAATTACACTCACCCTTGTGGCAGAGATTATAGCTACTATGAAGGCCATTTTCATAGCTAGATGTTGAAGAGAGGCTGTAGCTTGAGGCTCGAAAGGTGGTCTTGTAAGTGTGCCAAGCACTAAGCTTAAGTCTCAAGATGGCGCCGGCAGATATAAATGTGGACGTGTCTCTCGCAAGCCCACCGAGAAATGCTTTGTAATCAGATGTGCGAAGAGTGAGAGCTCCTCTACTGTCTTGTGGTAAAGAGTGATGGGGACAGGTAGACATGAATGGAGCTAATAAAGAGGCCTGAATTGCTAAGAGCCATCAGGTATTTGAGCACAGTAGGTATCAGAACAGTATTTGGTTGCAACTGATGTTGACCATACCACTCTTGAAATCTTCTCCATTTGTTTTGGTAGGTGTACCTGGTGGAGGAATGACAGCTATTCAAAAGGATCTACTTCACTCTCTTGGAACTGGTACGTTTCTTTTTTTGGAACCATGGCAAACACCAACCTCTATGCCACCCACCAATCGCAGAGCAGATAGAAAGTGCTTCGTCCCAGCTAAGGTCCTGGATATTTTTTATTTTTATTTTTTTTGCATTCCCAACCAAATTCATTGGTTGTAGACCCAGACAATCACAGATCTAGACAACTTCAGTAGAAGTCCACACCGCAGGACAAGGAGCACAAGAGGTTAGACATTTTTGGCAGAAAAGTCTATTCCTTGGTTAATCTCCAACTCCAAATAGTGAATTACAGAACTCTCCTGGCTAATTATGACCATGTAAATTATACTAGGTTACAAGAGCTCCTGCAAGACCTCCCAGGGCAGAAGAGGCCTCAGCTTCAATCCATAATGAAGAAGGGGCAATATACAGTATGAACAGCCCTTCAGGCATCTATGGACATAGCGGCCAGGGCTACTGCAACTGCTATAGTTATGCGCTGAGCTTCCTAGCTACAATTTTCCCGAGTCCCAAGGGAGCTGCAAACCAAGGTAGAAGATCTCCTGTTTGACAGAAAACAGCTTTTTGTGGCCAAGACTGATAAAGTCCTCTATTCAATGAAGAACTCCTGTCCCACACTGTGAACCTCAGCAATGTACATCCCACCTAATAGGAGATGCAGATATACTCCACATCAGGGGCTGAGATGCATCAACTACGAGAGACAGCAACAGAGGCCATACAGTCACAGACCCAATCAACAGTCCAACAGAAGGAGAGTGCAGCACAATCAGTCCTCCAATAATCAACCTTCCATGTCCAAGCAGCATATTTGAAGATGGGGTCAAGGGTCTGAGTGACCATCCCAGTGATCCAGTGTGTATGTCCCCTATTTTCCATTATCATCTGAAGCCCTTGTGTCATCAATGGGCCTCATCACTTGGGATAAATGGGTCCTTGAAATCATCAATACGGGCTTCACAAACCCCTTTCTGTCTATGTCCCCTACCTAACCTTTCCCCGTCCCTCTTCAGGAACCCCTCGTACAAGCCCCTTTTATAAGCAGATGTACAAAAACTACTCTGCTTAGGGGCAAGTCCCTCCAGAATTTCAAGGAAGAGGGTTTCATTCCAACTACTTCCTAATTGCCAAGAAAACAGGTGGTTTGAGGCCCATTTTGGATCTCAGAAAGCTCAACAAGTTTGTATGCAACACTAAATTCGGAATGGTAATTCTGGGAACTATTATACCCGCACTGGACGAGGTGCACTGGTTCTCAACCTTCGGGACACATTTCCATATAACAATACATCCCCCACACAGGAGGTTTCTCAGATTTGTGGTAGGCAAAGATCACTATCAGTATTAAGTCCTCCCTTTCAGATTTTCCACAGGTATTTTCCAAAATTCTATCCATGATCACGGCATCCCTCAGGAGACAAAGCATCATCATATTTCCCTACCTCGACAACTGCTTAACCAAAGGATCTTCACTCCAACAAACACTAATCATGACAGGTATCAACAAGGTCTGCTTCTCTTGCCAGAGTGCCTCCAATGGCTCCATAATGGCTTCATTGATTGGTAACTCTATTTTGGAAGATGTTGCTGGTTGGAGTATGCTGAGTAATGTGTGTTGGTTTTCTTGTACTTCCTGCAGTGCAATATCCTGAGACTGAACTACCCCATTTAAACAAGTCCTGAAACTGCTTCAGGTGGTCTGCAGGTGGAGGGAACGATGAGGGAAATACAGCTTCATCTGGAGAAGAGGAAGACTGTGGGACTGGGGAAAATCTGTCCAAATCAGAGTGAGGTAAGTTGTCATTGTCATCCATTGGCTCAGCCTCGCTTGTTACAGAAGGTGAGTGTGGAGGATGAGACAGCTAGGAGTGTGCAGTGGTAGCTGGAGAGTGCACTACAGTATGTGCTAGTATCGATACAACTGTCTCACATCACCAGTGCCAATAAGAGGAATGGGAGTTGTATTGGCTCCGTGGCTCCCACGGCAGATAAAGCTGATAAGGCCTGGGGTGATTAAACCACAGATTTTGCGGAGGGAGGGATGGTGGTGGGTGCCGTGAGGAATGCCAGGAAGTAGCTGAGCCCGTTGGTGAGAAGTAGTGTGAAGAGAACCTACTCTCCTGTCTAATGCCGTGCCCAGTACCCAGTGAAGATGGTGTAGGTGAATAAAGTACATTTTCCGCAGATTTTCGGTGCAGACTAGACTGGCAGATTCTGGGAGAATGCGAAGACGAAGAGGCATCAAGCACTGATAAAGATGGTGCGTGCAGCTGCAGTGCTCGGTGTAGGGTGTTAGCTGTTTCATGAGGAACCCTCTTTGGTTCCGGTGCCAGGGAATGCTTAGGTTCCGATTGGCGGGAACCCAAATGTTGGCTTGACGACTCGGTGTGGGGGAGCTGGACATGTTCTTCGGCTCCAACTCTGCTCTTTTCATCGGTGCCGTTTTGCTCTTCTGCATGGTGCTGGAGGTAGATGGCACCGGCAAACAGGCAGCATGGGATGTGGATGGTAAAGACCATGACTCTGAAAGTATGTGGAAAGCCCTTGAGGATGATGAATTAGCCCTTTTTTGTGGAATAAACAAACAGACTCCAGTGGTTGGAGAGATTTCTCCCATAGGAGGTTCTTCAGTCTCATTTCCTCTGTCCTGTCTGGCCCTGGCTGTCATATTCTGGCAGTGTGTGCACTTCAGCGCCACATGGCCTTTGCCAAGATACCGTATGCATGAAGCAGGTCTACCAGATGCAGGCACTGAGCCTCTGTATGAATAACATTTCTTAAAACCAGGAGAGCCTGTCATTTTGAAGGCTGGTTGGTTTGTTTTTTACGAGACCTGAGTGAAGCACCCACAGAGACACCACTAAAAGGAGAATAAAAAAGTACTTTACAAAACTATTTAATCAGATACTCTCAGAGTTCTATGAAGTAGAATATATGTACAGTGAAATATAACTACAGGTTCAACCTCGCTTGCCCGGGACTCACTGGTCCAGCAACATCTGTGGTGTGGGAGAACCATAGATGTTGCTGCTAGACCAGAGAATCCCAACTGTAGCAGTTGAAAGCGGTTGGGAGTGGAGCTGGTTTTGTCAGCGGCAGCCTGCAGAGGCAATGACCTGAGGGTAAAGAGTCATGGGAGCAGCTGCTGCTGCCACACTGCACAGGACCAGGGAACACTAGTGCACAGATGCTGCTGCCACTACACATGAGGCAGGGTGCAGGGAGCAGGGCCCCGTGAGTGGGCTGAGGGCAGCAGACCCAGGAAGGTGGGCCAGAGTTCAGATCTCCAGATTCTCCCAGGACAACTGCCAGGAGAGGAGCCCTGGGAAAGCCAGGACACCTGAACTCCCCATGTCCGGCAAATTCCCTTGTTCAGGACCACTCTGGTCTCAAGGGTGCCAGGCAAGGGAGGTTCAACCTGTACCTTGAAAACAGCATACACAATAAAACATTTTAAAGAAGTTCTTAGCTTTGCCCCCTATTCATCTTAAACTGCAGGAGTTAATCAGAAACACAGAACATTGCCTATGCATAGGAAATTTGGTTTTTACAGACAACTATCTGCTAACTACTCTTACCTTTGTTTCCTTGAATTTGCATTAGTCTCCATGTCACTCCAAGCAACCTGTTCAACTGTTTGCAGTTCAATCTGTAACCATCCTGAAGGGTTTCCTTCACAAACTTCCTTATCATATCCAGCCAATCAGAATCTATTTGAAGTGTTGAAGCACTTGCCAGTGAAACCATAATGTCACACAGGGTTAAATTCAATAAAAGATGGTCTACGTTGTTTGAAGATATCATACAGTACTTGGTGCTAAGTAAATACATAAGAATATTTATGAAAAATGAATGCAGTTTTTAATGTATTATTAATGTTTCACGCAGTTATAATATAGAAAACAATTCTTTTAAGCACTAAAGATTTAAAGCAAAAGTTTTTAAAATATGAGAGTCTAAGGCTCCTAAATCTATGGTTAGAGAAATAAAAAAGTGACCTGATTTTAAAACATGATAAGCACCCAGCATCTCAACTGGGGATGTTAAATTGCGATTAATCAGCTTGTCAATGGAATTTCCATCTAGGGTTGCCAGGTGTCCGGTATTGAACCAGACAGACCAGTATTTATGCCTTCTGTCCAGTAAAAAAAAATTCAGAAAATACCAAACCTGTAAAATGTCTGGTATTTTCCTTTTTTTTTTTTTTTGGCTCAACAGAATTTTCTCCTTTTGTGGAAAAGGGGTGGGGGGGGGGGCACGCCTCTTTACACAAAAAGTAACGTATTTTAACTGTTTCAATGCAATTTAACGGCAAGAAACAGGATACCCATCACCAGTATAACACCCACCACCCCCAAACAATCCCCGCTAGTAAGTGGCCTGCAAGCTACAACTTAAGAACCATTTATAAGGGTATGTCTACACCACACAGCTTTTACCAACATGACTGTGTTGACACTGCCATGTTGCTAAAAGTCAACCCCCTCCAAGCAGCATTTGCTTTGGCAGGAGGCACTGTTTACATTAGTACTGTGCCCAAACAAAGCTTTTGTCATGAGAGGGAGGCGCTCCTCTGAATGACAAAAGCTTTGTCACTCAATTGCCAACCTAGACAAAGAGTCTGCATTTGAATTTCTCTGAAATAAAAACATTCAAACCTAGGTTCATATGAGAAATTTTATCTAAGAGTTAAAGATATCAATTAAGTGCAACTTAACCACCATCTAAATACCTCTCCCATTTCTTAAAAGAAAAAAAAAACAACACTCAAAGTATCCGTTGTTTTGCTGGAAGATTAATACCAGACTGTGTGTCTATTCATACATGTAGGTTCACTTATTCTTGAAAGAATAAGATGTAAAGTGACACTAGTTTTATTCATACCTTTTGTATGGCTCTCTCTTTTTGTGTTTAATTGTTTCTTGTAAAGAATAAGGAAAATGACGCATGAAATGATGCTTGAAATCTAGAAGATAATTCATTCGAAGCCATGCCTCCTATTAAGGAAAGTAGATAATACATTAGAAAACAATGCTTCTCAGAGAAGTGAAATGTAACCATTTTAATAGCCTTCAAAAAACTTAACAGAAAGACAGAATGTGACACAGGAAGGAGAAAAAAAAATATTACAGCTTCTGATTTAAAGTTCTTTCACATATACAGTAAAACTCCAATTGTCCGGCATTCAGTGGTCTGGCACTCCCGATAGTCCGGCACCAACTGGAACCCGGAAGTGCTCCGGCCAGCCGGACAATTGGAGCAGCTCCGCGCCACTTCCCCAAGTCCGCTGCTGCCACTGCTGAAACTGACCAGTGGCGGACCTGGGGAAGCGGTGCAGAGCAGAGCAGCTAGGGTGCTGTCAGGTTGGTCTCACAGCGCCGCTGAGGTGAGGGGCGGCGCTGTGGGACCAACCCAGAAGCACCTCAGCTGCTCTGCCCACCCCCCCC